CAAGCGATATCCGGCAACTCATTTATTCGCCGGCGGGGTTTATCGTATTATACGGGCGGAAGTACGGGCTGCTCAGCATGCCGTCCAAATTGCCCGTCGGGCGAGCAGCGACTGGGAAAATTAATTTGACGGATATGCGGTTACGCAGATCCGAGTTCTGGCTTGCCCATGTCGCCGCCCCCCTGAGCCTGCCTCTCTCGTTGCAGGCAGGTATTTCAATTCCATTGACGGCGTATCTGCAGCATCCTGTATCACGGCTCGGTGTTTGCCAGTCTCTTGTGCAAAGCACCGAATACCAAGCCCGGGATGCCAAGAATCTTCATGGCATAATGTTCCCATCCAACAAGCGCGCATAAAAACGGGGGCTGCCGCCACGGGTGCTACGTAGCACCACTTACAATATCACGTCCTGTGTGGTGTGTACTGGCATCTGCCTACATGTATGTACCTTGGTAGTATTAAGCATTTTTTAACATGACATGCCAGTTTCAGCCCAGCTTAGTCCAGCCGTGTTCCTTTGTGCGAATCTCGCTGCCACGTGGAAAGCAGCGACCCCAGGACGAAACATTCTACTGCCGACACGCTGAGCCGAGCCCCCCTGGTGACCTTTTGTCTTGCTTCTTTGAGGAACTACTTGTATATCACAGTTACTGCTAAGAAACCAGCGCGCGGAAGAGACGCATCCGTGGCAAGGCTGAGACGCTGAATACCTACTAGATTACTACTTACCGACCGCTAGCATATTGAAACTCCACGTAGCACACGAGAGAGCGCGCGGCTAATCTGTCAGAGCATTATTTCTTTCCTTTGATTACTGCATCTAGCCATGACATCTGATTACATCAGCTTTCTGCTTCTCCGGGCTATGTAATTATCGCGCTGACTGAGTAATCCAAGGTTCCATCCTGACAAATCCCCCGCCTGTCTCGCTACCAATTGCCAGCGCCACGCAATGGGTGAGCAGCCTGAGCACCGCAAACTACGTATGGCGACCAGCTTTGGGTAGCTGATGGACAGCTATGGAGGGGTAAAGAGGACAAAAAAAAAAAAAATGGACACACCAAGTGCTGTTGGAAGCTCGCGAGTTGGGCGGCTGCAGTACTTAACCAATTGCCCTGCTTTCTCCAAACCTCCTCGATGGCCTTCTCTCTATCCAATCTCCTCAATTTCACGTCGACGCTGCTCCTGACTCTGTCGGATCCCCTGCAACAGCTCTTCACCGCACCCAGCAACGCAAGCTCAGCAACAATGGCCGCTAGACCTACCGGCCTCATCGCCACCAAGGGCATTGAGCTCTTGACCTGGGGTAAGTAAGCAAGCAAGCGTTCGACGCAAAGCTAGCAACGGCTGGCCAAGATCCCCCCCACAGTTGGACATATTGTCGTCTCTTCTTTCTACAAGTACCTACATCATTGTCTTCAATTGCATAGCACTGTATTTCTGTCGTACTCGGTACTCGTGCCCTGCCTGTTCCCTGCTTTGCCGGCTTTTATACGCCCTACGAGGATCGTACATGGCCTTGGAATCCTTCTCATCCTTCCCCCAGCACGGACCTTTGCCTTCAATTCTTCCTCCCTTATGCTGCTACAGCAGAGCTGCCTAGTGGCTAGCCGCTCTCGTCTAGGGGTTTCTTCAATTCTCCTGTAGCTCTCCTGTAGGAGAATCATCGCGGGAACTAGGGCCCTTATGCAGCCGGCGAGAATCAAGGGCCATGGGCAAGCAAACCGCCCGCCACAAACCGCCCTGCCCTGCTTTGTTCCTTGTCCTGCTACACTCATGCCACCCCCGGTACCTGCAGTTGACTGCCTGCTTGTCTCCGGAGTCGGTACGAGCATGCCAGCAGCTGCAGACCTGGGTAGAGAGATAAACAGCTTACATTGTCTGTGCGTCGTTGTGCCTCTCCACGATGGTGATTATGCTGGCGGTTACGATGACGTACGCGAGTTGAGTTTGGGGAACCAATCCTCACAATCATACTCTTAAGCGAATATCAAGGCGCAGCTGCTTGCCGGCATCTACACTGTGGCATTCGGTATATTCGGCAGATGCCAGAGATGATTCCTCGGCTTTGTTGGCAAATATTCCGGATTTAGCAAATGCTGCCATCATTGCTCATTCTTCCTATCATGCCATCTCGCCAAATTTCGACAAGGTGGTCGACCGCATCACATGGCCTTTTTTGTTTTATCTCAACCCTTCCCTTGTCCCTCCGCCAAAACCAAAAAAAAAAAAAAAAAAAAAAAAAAAAAAAAAAAAA